ACCAAGATGCAGGGCCACCATGGGCTTGAGCATGACAGATGATGAGAATGCTGCAGGACTGGTCAAGGTTCAGGCCTGTAGTTCACAGCAACTCTACGAGTTGAAGTAGTCAGTCGCTTGATGGCACCTAACAACAATAGCAACATAAGCAACAAAGAGAACTCTGATGGTGCAGTCTTTAGCGAACTGCACTGCAGACCCACCCTTCTGGCCTTTGAATGTATGAGTAGTAGCTCTGCAGGAGAGAGGTGGGTGATCTCCTCATGATGCCATGCAAGATTGCTCATAAAACTCTCATTATATCTAGAATTAATTCCAAACTGCTCACTTGGGGAGTCAATTTTTACTATAACCTGACTTGGTTTTCTTTTTTCTGCCCTTAACTAAAATTTAATTCTGCTGAAATTTTGTTTCAGACTGACCTCTTTACTGTGTGGTAAACATCCTACATTGTTCCATTCTTTTGTCCATTTTCCATCTTCCTCCCACTAATCAAGATTCCATCTTCTTTTTTAATAATTATATATTTTAATTCATTTTAATGAAAGTTTACAGAGACTTTGGATTTCCATTCATAAATTGTTGCACTTTTCTCCCTACCCAACATCCCAGCCAGTTTGCTCTTCTCTTGGAAAAGTAAAAGAAAAATTCTTTTATTTTTATACAATCCCTCTCCCCAAGTCCACTCCACTATGCAGCCTTCATTCTGGACTCCTGTCATGACAATAATAACTAATCAAATATTCATCCCTTTTAAACAGTTCTCTCCCTCATCTGTTTCAATGCAGTATATATAACTTACCCCATCTTTCTCAGTCTCCCTCCAACCCCGATGTCAGTCCCATTTTACAACAGTGGCATTATGCAGTATTTGTCCTTTTGTGACTGAGATATTTCATTCAGCATAATGTCCTCCAGGGTCACCCATTTAGTTCCTTGTTTTCAATGCAATGCAGTATTCCATTTTGTGAATATACCACAGTTTTTCTATCCATTTGTTGATAGACACTTAGGTTGTTTCTAACTCCTTGCTATTGTGAACAAAGCAGCAATAAACATGGGTGTGCATATTTCTGCTTGGTAGCAGTTATGGTTTCTTTGGGGTATAGTTCCAGTAGTGGAATTGCTGGGTCAAATGGTATTTCTATTTGCAACTTTTTGAGAAAGTGCCATACAGCCTTCCATAGTGGTTGCACCATTTTACACTCTCACCAATGGTAAATAAGGGTTCACAACCTCGCCAGCGTTTGATGTTTGCTGATCTGTTAAATTTTGTTATTCTTACAGGAGTGAGATGATATCTCATAATTGTTTTTTATTTGCATCTCTCTTAAAGCTAGAGATTTTGAACATTTCTTCATATGTTTGTTTGCCACCTGAGTGTCTTCTTTGGTGAAGTGTCTGTTCATATCCTGTGCTCATTTTTCAATTGGGTTGTTTTCCTTTATTTTGTTGTGGTGCTCCAGTATTTTATAAATTTGAGATATAAGTCCCTTAACTGACATGTCATTACCAAATATTTTTTCCCTTCCGTTCTTTCCCTTTTTACTCTGTTGGAGAAGTTTTTGGATGTGTGTATGGATTTGATTCTTAGAAGGTTCATTCATCTATTTTATCCTCTCCTAGTTGTAGATTTTTCAGGATGATTGGAAGACTATGTTGTGGATTAGGACTTCCAGCATTGTTTCAAGCTTTTCTTTAATGAAGTTTATAGTCCTTATAAATTATATAATTATATATAATTTCTCATTCTTTCACTAAAAGAAATTTTATTAAGTCAGCAAAATAAGCTGTAATATGGTAAAGGAAGATGGCTTAGAACATAAACCTGCAAATTCAGTGGTAATAACAAGGGCTCTGGTGGCCTAATCTATAACAGTTGCAGTGCTAACTCAAATATGGTACAGTTTGAACATCCTTTTGGAGAAAAATGGGCTATTTCCTCAGGTGAGATTTTCAGTAGACTCTAAAAGGCCACTGGAGAGTCAGCTATGAGTTGGCTCAAACTCAATAGCATCGTATTTTAAAGAATTATTCTTCTATAGTGTGCACAGAATGGAATTCCATATTTTATTAGTCCTCTCTCTTTAGATGTATGTTTCTTTTTCATGGGTGACAGTAAAATCAGTGCCTAATATCCTTAATTTTTTGTTATTACGTACTGTCTTGTTATAAAAAGCACTTGCAGCAGAAGTTCAAGGACTGTAGTCTTCAATATGGATTGAATCTCAGCATCAAGAAGACAAAGATTCTATAATTA